TGCTTTGTTATTTCCATTGTATTTATATAGCATATTATACAATTTTCAGATTTACCATATTACTTCTTCTCCCTCCCCCCCCCCGCCCCCCATATACCACCTCCACCATGTGAGAGCTCCACTAGGTCAGGGGTTTGTATATCTTGCTAACTGATGTATCACAACCTGAAAAGGTGCTGGCACAAACAAGGTACTCAACAAATATTTTTGGATTAAATGAGGTTTTTATTTATGTATTTATTTTTAAAATCTTCACCCAAGGACATTTTTCCATTTATTTTCAGATAGAGTGGGAGGGAGGTGGGGGGGGGGGAGAGAGAAAGAAACACTGATGTGAGAGAGACACATCCATCCGTTGCCTCACGCAAGACCTCGACCAGGGCCCAGGACAAACCAAAACCAAGGTTCATGCCTTTGACCGCAATTGAACCCCATGACTCTGGTCCTGGGGCCGAACCACCAAGCCAAACTGGCCAGGGCTTAAATGAAGTTTATTAAACATAGCATGATTTCACCCAGCCGGTGTGGCTCAGTGGTTGAGCATCCATCCATGTACAAAGAGGTTGCCAGTTCGATTCTGGGGTCAGGGCACATGCTCAGGTTGTGAGCCCAATCCCCAGTAGGAGTCATGCAGGAGGCAGCCAATTGATGTTCTCTCTCATCAATGTTTCTCTCTCTCCCTCTCCTTTCCTCTCTCTCTAAAACCAATAAAGAAAAATTTTTGAAAAATAAAAATAAAACATAGCACGATTTCAATTTCACATTCTTATTTTATTTATTTTTTGACTTTTTAAAAAATCTTTATTGTTGAATATATTACAGATGTTCCTCATTTTTCCCCCATTGACCCCCTCCTCCCCACTCCCGCCCCTCTCCCATCTTTTCCCACACTATTGTCTGTGTCCATTGGTTATGCATTTAAGTTCTTTGGTTTATTTCTTCCCACTCCCCAACCCCTTTCCCTTTGAGATTTGTCAGTCTAGCAATGAATTTGTACTTCTTAATCCCTTCACCTTTTTCACCCATTCTCCCAACCCCCTTCCCATCTGGCAACCAACAAAATGTTCTCTGTATCTATGAGAATGCCTTTGCTCTGCCTGTTCACCTCGTTTGCAGATTCCATTGTCGATAGATATGCATTCATTGCCATTTTGTTTGTTCATATATTTTATCTTTTTCTTCAAAAAGACCCTTCATCATTTCATACAATAACGGTTTGATGGTGATGAACTCCTTTAACTTTTTCTTGTCTGGGAAAGTCTTTATATGGCCATTGATTCTAAATGACAGCTTTGCAGGATAGAGTAATCTTGGTTGTAGGTTCTTGCTTTTCATCACTCTGAATATTTCTTGCCACTCCCTTCAGGCCTGCAAAATTTCTTTTGAGAAATCAGCTGACAGCCTTATGGGAACTCCCTTGTAGGTAACTAACTGCTTTTCTCTTGCTGCTTTTAAGATTCTCTCTTTGTCTTGAACCTTTTGCATTTTGATGATAATGTGTCTTGATGTGGGCCTCTTGGGGTTCATCTTGTTTGAGACTCTCTGTGCTTCCTGGACTTGTATGTCTGTTTCCTTCACCAAGTTAGGGAAGTTTTCTGCCATTATTGTTTCAAACAGGTTTTCGATTTCTTGTTCTCTCTATTCTCCTTCTGGCATCCCCAAGATGTGAATGTTGGCACGCCTGAAGTTATCCCAGAAGCTCCTTACACTCTCCTCATTTTTTTGGATTCTTTTTTCTTTTTGCTGTTCTGATTGGGCGTTTTTTGCTTCCTTATATTCCAAATCGATGGTTTGCTTCTTGGATTTACGTACTCTACTATTGAATCTGTGTAAATTATTCTTTATTTCAGTTAGTGCCTCCTTCATTTCTGACTGTGCATCCATCATTTTTGACTGGTCCTTTTTTATGCTCTTGAGGCCCTCACTAAGTTCACTGAGGTTCTCACTAAGTTCATTGAGCATCCTTCTAAGCAGTATTTTGAACTCAGCATCTGTTACGTTGCTTATCTTCATTTCGCTTAGTTCTTTTCTTGGGGTTTTGTTCTGTTCTTTCATTTGGGACCTGTTTCTTTGTCTCCTCATTCTGGCTGCCTCCCTGTGTTTGTTCCTATGTATTGCTTAACAAGAGGTATGGGGCTTGCTGAGACCAGATGCTGCTTGTTTGAAAGAATTTAGGAAAACCTGAAGCAGGATCCAAGACAGGCCAATCCTATGGTTAAGCAAGTGGCAACAGCTTGGGTCGGCCTGAAAGTTGAGTGGGGTGGGGCCTCAGGGAATTACCAGGGCGGGGCTACCAGTGTGAGCCAGGTTGCTGGAGTCCCAGATACGGCAACTGTCTGCCGCCCCAGGGCAGAGCTCACCAAAGGAACAAAGGCCTCTGACAGCACATTTGTCCCGGAGAAAGCCCCCTCTCCAGCCCTTGCTCCAGTGCCAAACAGCTCAGTTCTTCCCTGTATGTCTTGGCGTCCCTGGAGCTGCCTCCCCTCCACATTTAGAGGGAGTGAGTCTGATAAGTCCGAGCGCCGGCCCTTTAGGAGGAGCTGCCTGGGGCTCCAGTCGCATCAGCCTCCCTGAGCCTCAGTTCCTGCTGGTTTTTCCAGCCAGAAGTTATGGGGACTTCTCGTCCTGGCACTGAAACCCTGAGTGGGGTGCCTGGTGTGGTACGGGGACCCCTCAGCCCTCAGGGAGGACCTTCCCAGCCGAGGTGCCCTCCTGATTTTTATCCGCCACACGTGGGTGTGGGACCAGCCCTCGTGCCTCCGTCCCTCCTACCAGTCTGGGTGTGGCTGCTGCTTTAATTCCATAGTTGTACGACTTCCATTCAGCTTGATTTCAGGCAGTTTTGAATGATGGTTGTTCTGTAGTTTAGTTGTAACTTTGATGTGGTTGTCGGAGGACCCGATACCGTGTTTACCTACGCCGCCATCTTTTTTTTTTTTTTATCCTCACCTGAGGACATTTTTTCCATTTTTTTTGTTCAGATAGAGTGGGAGGGAGAGAGGAAGGAGAGAGAGAGAGAGAGAGAGAGAAACATCCACATGAAAGGGACACATCGAGTGGCTGCCACCCACACAACCCAACCAGGGCTGGGGACAAACTGCAACCGAAGTACCTGCCCTTAACAGAAACCGAACCGGGTGTCTCTGGACCGCAGGCCGACGCTCCAACCGCTGAGCCAGACCTGCCAGGGAGCTACACCGCCATCTTGACCGGAAGTCCTCACATTCTTATTTTATTTTTATTTATTTATTTATTTTTTTGTAGTCCTAAAAACTGTTTTTATTTTTTTATTTATTTTTTTAAAATTATTTATTTAGCCCTGGCCAGTTTGGCTCAGCGGTTAGAGCGCCGGCCTGCGGTCCCGAGAGACCCGGGTTCGGTTCCCGCTAAGGGCACGTACTTCGGTTGCAGTTTGTCCCCGGCCCTGGTTGGTCGTGCAGGTGGCAGCCACTCGATGTGTCCCTTCACGTCGATGTTTCTCTCTCTCTCTCCTTTCCTCTCTCTCCCTCCCACTCTATCTGTACAAAAATGGAAAAATATCCTCGGGTGAGGATAAAAAAAAAAAATAAATAAAAAAAAAAATAAAATAAAATAAAATTATTTATTTATTTTTTTGTTACAGATATTTTACCTTTTTTACCCCATCGGCACCCCCCTCCCCACCCACCCCCGCCCCGTCCCCAGCTTAGTTGTCCATGTCCATTGGTCATGCATACATGCATGTAAGTTCTGTGGTTTATCTCTTCCCACCCCCCCCACCCCCCCTTCGAGGGATGTCAGTCTGTGCCCTACTTCCATGTTTCTGGGTCTACTGTATTCCTCAGACTGTTATGTTCATTATATTCCGTATATAAGTGAGATAATCACATTCTTATTTTAAAGCATAAACATGTACACATATATGGGAAACTAAAAATATTTCAAAATGTTAATGGTGATTTCAAGTGACATTTTTTATTCTTTATGCTTTCCTGTGGTTTTATTCCCAAAATCTAATGTGAAAATGTCTTATTTTATCATGAGAAAATTGCTTTTAAAATGTCTCTTCTAGCCAGGCCAAGTGTGGCTCAGTTGGTTGAGCGTAGACCCATTCTTCAACAGATCGCTGGTTTGATTCCCTTCAGGGCACATGCCCAGGTTGCGGCCAATCCCCAGTAGGGAGTCGGCAGGAGGCAGCCAATGAATGCTCTCTCTCATCTACGTTTCCCTCTCTCTCTCCTTCTCCCTTCCTCTCTCTCTTAAAAATCAATTTAAAAAAGTTTTTTTAAACAAGCAAAAAAAAATATCTTCTAAACCTCCGCTAACAGACATTGCCACACACTGTGAATTGTCTTTGCTGCAAACTGCATGAAGCCAGTATGAAAGGGCATTTGACTACTGGAGATGTATTGATGATCTTTAAAGAAATGATTGTTTTTAAGTAATCGCCTGGTGTTTTGTGGTGGTTGAATATTTCTTAAAGGAATAAAACCCTAACCTCGTGGGTCGACCGCGTCATCCCTGAGGAAGACAGCCGCCTAGCAACCGGAGCCAAGCTGCAGCAAGGCACTGCGCCTTTAATTCCTAGGTTGTGTGTGTTGGGGTGGGGAGTGGGGGTGGGTATTTCCGCTCCCCCAAGGCCCTGGTGGCAGCTGTCACCTGTAAAGCGAGCACCGAACGCGGGGGATGGAGCCCGGCGCCCATTGGACAGAAAATAAAGGCAGAAACCTACCCCGAAGACGCGGGGCGGCTGCAGTGGGCGCGCGCGTGGGCGTCCAGTGCCTTTCTCCCGGAGCCACCCAGGCTCTGCGGCGCGGGCGTGACCGCGGTCCAGCTTCGGGGACTCGCCCGTCCCGCCTGGGTGGAAACGGCCAGGTGAGCCTGGCGAGGCGGAGGTGACTCCCGGAAACCCAGCTCCGGCACATCCCAGCGAGCGCCGCAACGTCCACCTGCCTCAGCAACCGGGAACCGAGGCCGGTAGAAGGGGGCCGCCAGGCTTCCCTGCCCGGCCGGGACTGACCATGGCGCTCGCCGCGGCCGCGGCCGCTGCGGCGGCCGGGGTGAGCCAGGCGGCGGTGCTGGGCTTCCTGCACGAGCACGGCGGAAAGGTGCGCAACTCCGAGCTGCTGAGCCGCTTCAAGCCGCTGCTGGATGCGGGCGACCCGCGCGGTCGCGCTGCCCGCAGGGACCGCTTCAAGCAGTTCGTCAACGACGTGGCTGTGGTCAAGGAGCTCGACGGCGTCAAGTTCGTGGTGCTGAAAAAGAAGCCGCGGCCCCGGGAGGTACCAGAGCCCCTGCTCTCCTGCATCCCCAGCGCCCCCGGGCCACCGGCCCCGCAGTCCAAGATCACGTCCATCTCGCAGGTGGAAACTGCTGCCTCGGGGGCTCCTTCCTTGGCCTCCGAGAACTGGTCGATGGAAGCACCTGAGGACCCCGCTTCTCCATCAAAGCCACAGAACACCTCTGGGGCTCCGGTCTCTGAGCCCACTTCTCCAACTGGGGAGCCGTTGTTAAGCCTTACGACCCAGCAGTCAGGGGGACCCTCCGACCCCTGGCTTCCAGACTTAGAGATAACCCAGCCCTCGGAGGACCTTTGTGCAGACGTGGCCCCACCGTCTAGGGCACCGTCGGAGGCGGCCTCACCCCACGCAGAGCCGCCAGGCCTGGGATCTGGGCCTGGGGCGACGACAGGGCCGCCACCACTCCCTCCGCGCGCGCCTCCGCAGAAGCCCTGTATGCTGCCGGTGCGCTGTGTCCCGGGCCCCGCCGCGCTCCGGCTCCGAGCCGAAGAGCAGGGCCTGCGCCGGCAGCTGTCGGAGGAGCCGAGCCCGCGGAGCTCCCCGCTGCTGCTGCGGCGGCTCTCGGTGGAGGAGTCCGGCCTGGGCCCCGGCCGCTCCCCGCACCTGAGGCGCCTGTCGCGCGCTGGCCCGCGCCTGCTGAGCCCCGACACCGAGGAAGTCCCCGTCGCACCGCCGCCGTCTGCCGTGCCCCTGGAGCCGGCCGAGCACGAGTGGCTAGTGCGGACGGCCAGTGGCCGCTGGACCCACCAGCTACATGGTCTACTGCTGCGCGACCGCGGCCTTGCCGCCAAGCGTGACTTCATGTCTGGTTTCACGGCCCTGCATTGGGCCGCCAAGAGCGGCGACCGAGAGATGGCGCTGCAGCTGGTGGAGGTGGCGCAGCGTGGGGGCGCGCGGGTTGATTTGAATGCGCGCTCACACGGTGGCTACACGCCATTGCACCTGGCCGCTCTGCACGGCCACGAAGATGCCGCGGTGCTGCTGGTGGGCCTGGGTGCACAGGTGCATGTGCGTGACCACAGCGGGCGGCGGGCCTACCAGTACCTACCGCAGGGCGCCTCCTATGCGCTGCGCCGTCTATTGGGCGACCCTGGTCTGCAAGGCTCTACCGAACCTGATGCGACCGGTGGTGTTAGTGGTAGTCTTGCGGCCCGGCGCCCAGTGCAGGTGGCCGCCACCATCCTCAGTTCCACCACCAGCGCGTTTCTGGGCGTCCTGGCCGACGACCTGATGCTTCAGGACCTGGCTCGAGGCTTGCGGAAGTCTGGCTCCTTCAGCAAGTTCTTGGGTGCCTCGCCCATAGCTGCTCGTAAAAAGACAAAGACCCGCAGTGGCCTGCCGGCCTTTTCAGAAATCTCTCGTCGATCCACTCCGGGACCCTTCGCTGGTCTGATGCCCAGCCTGCCCCCTGCAACCTGACTGTCCATGAGGCTACCGTTCGGTTGATCTAACTGGGCCTGCCTGGCAATCTCAGCTTGCACCTAAGGGCGGCCCAACACTTTAGGCTCCATCTGGATTCCAACTTTGTCCACTACAGTGTTTTACCCAGGTGGGCCTAGCCTCCAACCTCTGTCTGTAGCTTGACCTGTCTCCAGAGATCTCAATTCTCAAGAGCTTCCTATGAAGAATGCCCGAAGTCAGGCTTCAGCCAGAACTAGTTGCTAGGGTCTTTTTAAGTGTTGTGTGAGGTTGTGTAAGGTTGGGAGATTTGTCAGGTACTAGTGGTTTTGTAATTTGATGCTTTTATCCCGTTTTTAAAATTTAAATGAGGCAAAACAACTTTCATAATAACCTTTTGAAATTATATTTTTTCATTTTTAGGCAAAATCCTTAGACATTTTTGATCTTTGGTAAAAATTTTGGAATTCTATTAAAAACATAATGATTAAGATCTAAAGGAAATTAGTTCCAACCAAGAAAACGTTTAAATGTTTATCTACCTCGTTTTAGGCCATCAAGAGTCCAAAAAGTCTTGAACACAGAATATGACCATTGTAAATGTAATTAATTTCACTTGTACTGTGAATGCTAAATATTAGGAAACAAGTGCATCTTGAAGTAAGGGTGATTTAATAACAAGAAAAAAAAGACACATTTGGGAAAATACTTTTAATTTGTGGTTATCTTTATGGTGAAATATAAACTCATGTCTTTGGCACTGTTGGGTGGCTATTTTGATTTGGCATGAATATTTGACTAAGTGTGTGAATTGCACTGTTGTACCATGTTTCTGAATCTGTGGTTTTTAAAATCTGGCTGAGACTTTCAGTGCAGTTGGGCCTCCATTCCCGCACCCCCCCCCAAAAAAACCTGTCATAGCATTACATTAGAAAAATAACTCATAAAATAGTAATGAATACAATTAAGGAATAACTATTTTATATGAAAGTTCTGTACAGATAGAAAGTACATGATATCCATTTTAAAAAGCCATCTGAAAGCAAACAACTTATTCCAAAATAGCAAATGCAAAATCTCTTTTCTTAGAGGGATGACTCTGACTCTGGACCTTTGCTCCTATCTGTAATTGAAAAGGTTTACAGGCATGGCCAAGATTTCTCAGGTTCATGACAGTGTAATTATAATAGCTCTTTTTTCTGTTATAAAGATGTGGAATCTGCCCTGGCCAGTTTGGCTCAGCGGTTAGAGCGTTGGCCTGTGGTCCGGAGAGACCCGGGTTCGGTTCCCGCTAAGGGCATGTACTTCGGTTGCAGTTTGTCCCCGGCCCTGGTTGGTCGTGCGGGTGGCAGCCACTCGATGTGTCCCTTCACGTCGATGTTTCTCTCTCTCTCTCTCCCTTCCTCTCTCTCGCTCCCACTCTATCTGTACAAAAAATGGAAAAAAAAAATATCCTCGGGCGAGGATAAAAAAAAAAAAAGATGTGGAATCTATTTGCTCAGTCTTTTTTTCATATCATATGGTGATAATGCTCTGCTTTTGCAAATCGTGTTTGCATGTCATTAGTTATATCAAATAGCTTTTGTGGCACAGGTTAATGGGGCTATATAATCAGTGAGGGCTCTGAAAATATTTAAGGCAGTCCTTCATGGAATTTTTCTTTTCATGGAATGTTTTGATTTAAGCAGTGAAATAAACAATCTCCCATTTTGTTTCTGCTTGTGTGATGATGTACTTCCCTCAAACCTTCTACAGCTCTTGTCACTGTATTTTTTTTCTTTTCCTTTTACCTACTTAAGTTCTCCCTTTTCTCCTCATCCTTCTGCCACTTTCAAGCATTCTATCATTGAAAGGGTTTGAATTGCTCTGCAAAATAAAAGGAGTCATCCACACATGGATATGGTAGCCAAAACTATAGATAAAATGTAGGTGCTCATCTGACCCTTCCCACCTTCCTTGCCTGAACTCTAGCTAAGCTGCATAAATTATTTTAAAATGCAAATGAAATCTGCCTCTGCAGGAAAATTGTGGGAGGCAATAATTATAGCAATCTGAGTGGTTGAAGATCTAGAAGGCAATAAAATATTTGAGATTTTCCATGGTGAAAGAGAGTCTTCACTTGACTAAGATCGGTAACAAAGGTCACAAACACAGGTATGACCCGTCTTGAGAAAGATCAAAATCTAAACCAGCAGGATATTAATAATAACTAATGTTTATTGCACACTTAAATTAGAGAAGGGTTACTCGAACTGCCAGAAGAATCTTTGTGTTTTAAAAGGGTGTGCTCTAAGTCTTCTAAATGAGGTAAAACATTTGGCAAGAGTTTGGGATGAATAAGCCTAAAACTCAGGTTTTAGATAGAAACCACTGCTTTTTCCTTGCAGGCCAAGACTTTCTGAAATTATAAGTCAGAAAATTACAGTTTGAGGTGCATATAGAAAGTTTTCAAGGACTATATACTGCATAGCAGGAGGTACACCTGCAGAAGGGTATTTCAAACTGACACACAAATAATTGTGTAAAAGTTAAAACAATTCAGCTGGTTAAAATGATCACAGGGAAGAGAATCAATCACTCCTTTAATAAGGAGAATTGTTGATACAGATGCATGTGAATCATATCCAGAGCAAGCTTTTTAATAAAGTATTTTATTTCCTTTACAGAAGGTTAGAGGTTGTCTTTGAGCATGTCTCACTTAACTAATGGAGACCAGGGTGTAGGTAATGCACATAAGACCTGTATTTATTGAGTGCCAGGCACAGTTCTAAACACTTTGCAGGTACTAACCACAACCTTAAAGGTATGTACTGTTAGTACCTTGATTTTATTTTATTTTTGTTTAATTTTTAACTCATCTTTATTGTTGAATGTATTACAGATGTCCCCTCCTTTTATTCCCCATTGACCCCCTCTTCCCCAACCCCTCTCCCTCCTGCCTTCCAGTTCCTTGATTTTAAAGTGAGGAAACTGAAGCCTAGAGGAATTTTAAGTGACTTGTTCAGGCCTCACAGATAGGTAAGTATCAGAGTCAGGATGGCATCCTGTACTCTTACCATTACAATGTCCTGTTGCAGAAAAGCAAGGTGATCTCAATTTCAGTCCATTACCCATTAAGTGACCTTAGGCAAGTCACCCAATTTTCCAAGTTCCAGATCCCTCTTCTGTGGGACATAAGACTGGCAGTATGTAACCTACAGGCTGTGGGGAGAGGGGCATAGGAAATGAGTAGGTAGAGCTCTTTGTGAACTGTAAACCAACCTGAAATATTACCAGGGGTGCCAAGCTGGTCCAACAGGGGTATCTGGCTGCACTCCAAAGTAAAATAGCTAGGATTGGTAGCTTTGCTTTACATGATCACCATTCTTTTACCATATTAGTAATTGTATACATAAATAACAATAGACTTTGCTAGAAAAAACATATTCCAAATAAAGGAAATTATTTCATATTCTCTATGTAATATTGATTTAATTAAAATAGATATAACTGCCCTGGCCAGTTTGGCTCAGCAGTTAGAGCGCCAGCCTGTGGGCCAGAGAGTCCTGGGTTCAGTTCCCACTAAGGGCATGTACCTCGGATGCAGTTTGTCCTCGGCCCTGGTTAGGGTCGCGTGGGTGGCAATCACTCCATGTGTCCCTCTCACATCAATCTCTCTCTTCCCCCCTCTCTCCCTCCCACTCTATCTGAAGATAAATGCAAAAATGTCCTCGGGCGAGGATAAAAAATAAAAATAAAATATAACTTTGTCTTTCTTAATCCATATTTCCCTAGAATCTCTACCATCTTCCAGAACTAGACAGTTGTCATTCAGCCCTCAACATAGTTATAAAGCTAGAAACACCTAGTGTCATAGGCAGTTAGACAGACATGAGCAGAGCAAGCATGATGGGCCAAGTACAGAAGGTCACCAGGGTGGAAAGCCCTGGGTGCCTAGCAAGGAGCAAAACTGGGAAAACAAGAACCTTCCCCTCAGGGTAATCTTTCCTCTCCTAGCATATCATAGTCATTCAGTTTAGACCCCCTGAGCTTGTCCTCCCTAATGATAACATCTAGGCCTCAGTTGTATTTTCAGCGCCAGGCCCAGAACAGCAACAAAACCAGACAAGTGACTCCATGGCTGCCCCAGGACCAACTGCATTGACTAATGACTCCCTGCCCTGGCACCGCCCAATCGGTAGAGACCATGACCGACCCTAAAAGAGCACACCTGAAAAGTTGATGAATGTTCTCGAACATAATTCGTTCCAGGAGGACGGTCGAGAACCGAATTGTTCGAGAACCGAAGCAATGAAACCAATAGGAAAGCGTGACTCCACAAAGCGTGACTCTCTCTCTGCACTCACACTGATGGCGCAAGCAAGGCGCGCTGGGCCGAATGAACGCCATTCGGCTCAACTCGGCTCATCTCGGAAGTTCGAGTTCCAAATATTTGTTCGGATTCCGAGACAAAAGTTTCTCGAATCTCCATTTGGTCGAAAACCGAGGCGTTCGAGAACCGAGGTATCACTGTATTGAGACCCTCCCCTGAAACACCCCCTCCCCTAAGATTTCCACTTGGAAGAGAGAGATAAATACCCTCAACACAGAGGACCCAGCAGACAGTCTCCCTCTGGGGAGCAGCTCCTGCCATTCCCTTTCCCTCTCCTTCCCCCACAGGCATGCATCTCCTAAACTCTAAAGGATCCCATTAGGCTTTCATCCAGGGGAGCAATGGGCAGTGGCAGCTCTTTCCAGACTAATTCCTCAAACCTCTCCCCAGGATCGATCCTCTTTTCTCTGACTTCCCAGAGTTAAGGCAGCCCAGCCCAGGGTCCCCTATTTTGGGTCTTTTCTTGGAAGAAATTATTTGACCTTTTAAAATGTTTGCTTAGCCCGGGGCCGGTTGTCTCAGCGGTTGGAGCTAGGCCTGCGGACCAGAGAGTCCCGGATTCGGTTCACGCTAGGGGCAGGTACCAAAAAAAAAAAAGTTTGCTTAAACAAACTCTATTGCTCTCCAGATAGCTTTTTGCCTTGAACTCTGTCCTGGCTTCACCATTCCAGAACTGCCACACCTCTAGACTTGAACCTTTACGCAGAGGCGGCCTCAGGTGTGACTACTAGAAAGAGGAAAGAAGGAGGGGGGAGGGGAAAGAAGAGGGGGAGGGAGGAATGAGAAAGTTATGTACAGACCTCTCACCAAGAAAAAAAAAGTGTTCCTAGTAGGAAGTTGATGCTGATTTAAATTTCAAAGACAAACAGGTAAACAGCCAACGTGACCGTCTAAACAGTGGTCAAACTGTGATAATAACACTGCAGGGTCCTTGAAAAGATTGCTTTATAACAATTATCTACCCCCACCCCCACCCCCACCCCCACCCCCACCCCCACCCCCACCTCCAGATTCTTCACCTCCCCTCTCTGCGGTCCTCAACCACTAGGACGTAAATTCCCTTAAGCTTCTCATTTACAAGTGAATGAGCATCACCGCGATTTGCGGCAGTGAAGGTCCCCGAGGTTTTCTCCAGCGGCTCGCGTAGGTACACGGCGTGCGGAGCCGGCTGTTCAAGGCCGATTGCGCGCCGCTTTGGGGCACGGGAACATTGCTTCCCTATTTCGTTTCCAATTTGCAGTCTGAAGGTAAAAGTACACTAATTACACCCATATTAGGAGCAGCGGCAGGGGCGGGGGCGGTCGCCGTGCTACCTGTTGCCCAGCAACAACCCCAGCCGCCGCCGGCCCCAGGCAGAGCCGGGAGGCACGCGGCGGGCGGCGGCCAGCCGGGCGGGGGCGGGACGAGGAGGCAGCGGGGCGGGGGGAGGGCGCATGCGGCTTCAATAGGTGGGGCCAGAGATGCGGGAGACCCTCTGTTCCACCCTGGGGGACTAAGTAAGACTCTTTTTGATACATATACTCGAGATCAACACCCCCGGCTTCCCTCTTCACTTCTCATTAACCAACAAAGAAAAGGGAGCCAGCCTTCCCAGGGCTGCCAGGCCAGAACTGCTTTCCGACAGAAGCAAAAAAGCCTAGCCCCAGCCTTCAGACCCAGCTGGGACACTGCTCTGCAGAGCCAGGCAAATTCCCCACGGCTAGACCCGAGGGCCTGGTAGCTGCGGAGGCTGCAGGTAGTCAAGGGTAGGTAGCAACTTTCATCGTAAGGAAACCAGTGCCCTCTGCTGGTAGTGTCCTGGAGGGTGAAATCTACCCGCATCCTGTTTTCTCCAAGTCTTGGTCCGCGGTACCAATACCGAACACCTACGGTGAGCTCATTCTTGCCCTCTGAAGGAATAACGGTGTGGGCGGGAGATAAAGTGGGGCAGGAAGGAGACAGGGACAACATGAAAGGACGGGCACAGTTGGTGTCCACCTACTTTGGTGGTTCCCCGATCTGGTAGAGAAAAGCAGATAAGTCTTGTATTTCCCCATGGAAAACCCCAGCACAGAACCAAAGTGCAATTTAACCGGACAATGGCAGACGCTGCTCCCTAAGCCCATTCCAGCCTAAACACGCAGTTTTCACAGGCCTAATGGACCCTGTTAAGTGTTTCTAAGAATATCATAGTGGGAGAATGCAATGGGGTCTGTACAGGGAAAAGGCAGAAATAAGTAGTTCCATCCAGAACCCATCTAGAAGCCAGCTGCCCTGCTAGACAGAGGACCTTGGAGTGGAGGCTCTGCACAGGGTTCAAAGCATAATGTTAGAACCCGAAACTGCCTCACCAGGAGCTCCATATGTTTTTTATAAAAAAGCACAATGTGAGCATTGTTCTGTGCTCAATAGCGCAACTGTTGTAACTAATGCTTTTGCTATGAATATGACCATTTAAAATTCCCAACCAGTCGCACTTAGTGACAATACACATCAGAAAACAAGCCCAGAAGCAGAGATTTCTTATTTTGGGGTCAGTTGGCTTTAAATACACATACACATGCTTTTTAATGTATCCAACTTTAAAAAATACACTGAACATTGCACGAACTATGTTCTTCTCCCTCGTGTTTGCAGCTACAAATGCTAAAGCAGATGTTCACATGTATAGTTGAGGTTAACACTGATTCTGTGTACACTGGGCTGATGTGCAAATAGAGGACAGTGCCTGTCCTGTTTCAGCCCCTAACTCCTACCTCCCAACCCCAGCCCACCTCTGTAGCACACAGCTTAGCTGCCTCTTCAGGTCCTCAGCCTTCACACAGTAGGTCTCCAGGTCCCCATGCCTCACCTTCTGCTCCTACCACCAACTGCCCTCCTCAAGCCTGGCTGACCCAGTGGAGTCTCCAAAGGAGAGTGGGATAAACTCAATTTTAATAATATAACTGGGAGAGGAAGAAAGCTCTTGGAATGAATGTCGCCAAATGTCCAAGTGTACTGGACATTTGTCAGGGTTCTCAGACAGCAAAGCATTTGAGCCCATTTTCCATTTGGGGATTTTATCCATTGAGTCTTGAAAGGAGGCAGTACCCCACTTCCACTACTGAGGTTGGGGGCTTAGGTAAAACCAGCAAAGGAGACTTGGACTCAGCCAATCAGGCCTTGGCTTTGGTAGTGATGCAGTCACCAGAACAGTTAGGAATTACTAGTAGCAGTGGAGTTGAGGGCCCAGTATCCCCATGGTCTCTCCTGTTTTCAAATTTGGTTCTCCAGTCTTCCCAGACCTCACTGATATCCTCCAGCAAATCCCTCTTCTGCCCTAGTCAGGTAGGGTTGGTGTCTGTAATTAGTAAACAGTATCCTTTCCCCAAACTGCATTTCAGGTAACATACACACTTCACACATTAACGTTTATTGAGAAAGAAAAAAAGTCTGTTTTGCACCTTAAGTTGAGACTCTGACTTGTCTCCTCTCCCTCCACCCAACCTTGACCAATTTTTTAAATCCATAAATTAATTACCAAATAATCCACAAAACTTGGGTGAGGCCATATGACAATACTTAGAAGTATTCTAGAAGGACCTGGCCTGGGTCATCCTCACCCCAAGGGAAAAGCATCGGATAAACCAGCGTCACCTTCAGCTGTGGGGGTGAAAGGCAGGGGCAATGGTCCCCACCCCCACCACCAGTAACTAAATAAGCAGAGGGGAGAACGGCGGTTTATCCGGAGAACGGGTTCCGGGGGGAGAGGCCGGCCGGGGAGATGGAAGTTGATGGCCAAGGCGGCTCCTGACGGCATCCAGTTGGTCCTGAAGAAGCCGGACCCGCTCGTCCAAGCTGCGCTGCTGGGCTAGGACCGCGGCCTTGCCGGCCAGGAGGGCGCAGTAGGCACGCAGCTCTCCGGCGGACAGTGACCTCACCAGCACTTCGCGCAGGGCCCGCTCGCGCCTCGCCACGTGCTCCTTCAGCTCCCTGGCATCCTCCTGCTGCCGCTGCAGGAGCCCGAGTCTTTGCAACAGAGAAGCCTGGAGCCGCAGGGAGAGAATACCGTGAGCAGGCGACTGCATTTCCTCGCCCTGCTCTCCTGCAGCCTGAACCCTTTTACCTGCTCATCAGGGTCCCCGTCTGTCCCCGTTCGGGCCAGGGCGCGGCGCACGCGAGCCAGGCGACTGCCCAGTAGCAGCAGGAGGCCAAGCACGCGCTCTAGGTCGGCCATGAACCGGGTGAACCGCTCTAGCTCGCGGGGTGCACAGGCCTGGCCTACCGCGGCCTCCAGCGCAACCCCGCGCCTGGCCCAGGTCTGGGCTGCCCTCTGCAGCTGCTCCTGCTCATCCTGAAGGTCCCACAGCATCTTTTGGAGGAGATCTGCTAGCTCCACCTGCAGGGAAGGCGTAGGTACTTAGGCTGGGGCCAGGCCCATGAAGTCTCAGGCCAAACTCCGTTTCTTTTCCCACCCAGTTTCCATCAGCCCCACCACACTCACTTTCTTAGCTTGGATGCTGTTGTTTTGCTCCGGCAGACCCTGGGCACGTGGCTGGTCAGGCACAGGGTGGGTGGTAAGGTTTTCAGGCCTTGTTTGCTCCTGAGAAGTTGGCAGGAGCTGGATGGAGCTAAACAGAATAGACCCGGAGATAAAGCCAGAGCTGTCTGGTTGTCCTGCCCTAGACTGCAGGGGCTTAGAATTTCCTGAGACTTGGTGCCCCTTACTCACCCAGGCTCAGAAATAGCAGCAGCCTCCTTTCCAGACTTGCCACAGGCCAGCCGCATTGCAGCCCAAACCTCAGCTAAAGGAATCAACCCATCCAGCACATCCAGAGGTGGCTCTGGGATGGGATAGGAGGTGAGAGTGTCACTCAGAGAGGGATCCAGTCTGGCAAGCTCCTGAACCAGCTCCTCCAAGCGCAGACTGGAACCAGGCTGGACAGTGCCCCAAGCCAGGGCAGTATCATTAGGAGGCCCTTGGTGATCACTGCCTGGAGGTCCCAGGGCATCAACTGGGAGAGGTTTGAGGGAGTCTGCAGCTACAGGGAAGTCAGTCGTCAACAGTCCAGTGGAGTCAGTGGTTGGGATGTCACCATTTGCAGTCCCAGGGGGGCTACAGCATGTGGGCCAGCAGTCATCTGCCTCTGTAGTCTCTGGGCACTCATGGACGGAGTGCTCTGGGAGAACTGTAGCTCCATCTGGCCTTTGGCCCAAGCCAGCTCCATACTGTAGGTTAGCGGCATGGACACTGGAAGTGGAAGAGACACTGAATCAGAAAAAGTTCTGGCCAAAGACCAGTAGTGGTCTCCAAGGACCACCTACCATCACCCATCATCCAGACTCCCAGACTTCAGCTAGGAGAGGATTCCCTGCCCCTCCAGCATTTTGTAGCTGTCTATAGGAAGGGGGTGTCTCACTCTGCTTGGAAGCAAGAGAGAATTTACCTGGTTGGGAGCCCAAGTGGGGCATGGGAGTCTGGAGGTGATCTCATTCTGACCAGCAGGGCTTCTTCCAGGAAGACATCATCATCAGGAAGGGAGGGGAGCCGGGCAGACACAATGCACGTCTCTGGGACCCTGTGCTCACAGTCAATGGGACTGCTCTGGGGACCCTCTCCAGGACACAACACTGTAGCTTCCTTCTGAGTCAGGAACCTGGAGGCAGAAACCCCACACTGCACACTGACCAGGAAGGAAGCTCTTGGTTCTGCACCGAGAGACAGTAAAATGTTGTGGGTGGGGAGCAGCTGGGGATTTGGTTTGCAAAAGACAGCATCAAAAAGGCTCAGAATGAGGGTAGGTGTGAGGCCTTCTCTTTTCCTGGGCAAGAGCTATGAAAGCTGCCTCCTCTCAAGAGTGATCTATGTCTCTTACCTGGAATGTTTGGTCTGAAACAATGGTCTGGGGAGTTCTGTTCCTTGAGGAACTGCCTGGAAAAGCAAAGAGGTTGGATGAAATGTGGCTCAAGTTTTCAGTCTCCCAGATGCCCCCTACCACAAGCCTGCAGCCCTTCCATACCTGGACGATGGGCATGGGCCCTCCAGTACCTCCCCAGGGACCCAAAGCTTCCCCTGAAGCGCTGTGACTCCTTCCAGCAGGCCTGTAGATGTTGTCGAGCTTCAAGGACCGGGGTTCTAGGTCCTCTGTGCCTCTTAGCCATCTGATCTGGTGACCTTCGAACTCAGCCAGGATCTGATGCTGCAATTCCTGGGTCTCAGGCCTGGCGAGTCCAAAGCTGGAGCAGGCACCACCCAAGCATTCCCCGACCATCCCACCACCCTGACCCATGAGATCCAGCTTCCCTGGCTCAGAGAAGCACCACTTCTGCTGCTGGTTGGCAAGGTGGCCCCGGCCTGCGGTTCCAGGCGCGCGAGCCCCGGAGCGAGCCGGCTCCCCTTCCCTGCCTGGGTGGCCCAGCGAGGCGGAGCGCGGGTGCGCCGCCGGGGGCCGCACGGGGGTCGCGGGCCGCAGGCGGGCCGGCAGACTCATGCGGAGCTCTTTGCGCTGGAAGGAGGTCTCCCGGAGGACTCGCCGTTGCGCGCCCTGCAGCCGCTGGCGGTAGGCAGCCCGCGAGGCCGGTGGGCTGGGCGGCTCGGCGGCCCGCGCTGCGGCCTCCGCCTCGGCTGCCAGCGCGTACAGCAGCGGGGTGGCCTGCCTGCTGAGCGGCCCCGGGACCTCCGGGACCTGTGGCGGCCGCGGCCCTCTGCGCGCGGCGGCCGCGGCCCCGGGCGGCGGGGAGGCGCGAAGGGCGGTGGCGGCAGAGGCGGAGGCCGGGCCGCCCCACACCACGCGCACGTAGTCCCAGTCTAAGTACGGGAGGAGGTCGGTCTCCGGCGACGGCGTGCGCGACTCTGCACCGCCCGAGGCCGCCGAAAAGGAGCTGTAGGCCGAGTCGGCGCGCACCGACAGCCGCCGCAGGTCCAGGCTGCGCGTGGAGGAAGCTGGAGAGACGCGGTCGCCCCCAGGGCCCAGGGCCTCCATGGCTGCGCAGAAGAATGCCGGGCCGGCTAGCTCCGTAGGACCTGGGAGAACATAGATGGCGTAATGGGTGAGGGGCCCAAGGTAAGAGTTAGGAGAGCCTTCTGGCCCGGCCAACACGGAGAGCCAGCCAGGTGCTCACAAATCCCCTCTCTAGTCGCACTATCTCAAGCGTTGGCATTACCCCCAGCTCAAATATGGCATGGGTAGTAGGTTCAAACCCAGGGAGCAACTCTGGAGATTGGGGGGTCTCAGCTCAGGGAAAGGAATTGGCCCCTGGCCCATTTCCTGCTGAGGCTCTCCTGGCTGATACCCCCTGGAGCGCTGAAAATGTACCTATGCTCTTTCCCTCCCCAGCCCCACCCTGGCTACTTCCAGGCTTTGTTAGCTTCTCCATGTGATCTTTCCCTGATAAACAGTGGTCAAGAACTTTCTGAGATCACTGGGGAACCAAGAAAGGAGATGAAGACCCAGGTCAGGTGGCAGAAGCAGTACACAGCAATCCTCCCTCCCTGCGTGCCAGTTATGTTCCAGGTGTTTCATGTAAATATTTATCTTGCTCCCCCCAACTGCTATCTGCCTTTTACAGATGAGGACACCAAGGTTCTGAGGGAGAAATCATTTGCCCAGGGGCACACAGCTGATAAGAGGCTGGCCACTGCCTGGAATGTGGGCCTGCCTCCAAGCTTACTGCAGCCAGATCAATTTCCTAGAAGCAAACCCTGAAAGCCAGTTTCCCACCCACCCCCACCACACCCGCACCTGCCTGAAGCCTCCAAACTGCACTTTGGGAAACAGTTGCCGCATTTTCCCTCAAACTACTGGGAGATCCCAGAATAACATGGTCCCTGCTTCTGGAGACTGCTGTTTGTCTAGTAATGACAGCTCATCCCTTCTTATCCTGCTATTCTTGCACCTCCAGTAGGGCTCAGCTTAGAGATCTCCTGACCGTTTGGGATCCCTACAGTGTCCTGAACTTCCCCTATCCTGGCACTTACCACCCTGCTTTGTAATGTTGGCTTGCCTGTAATTCCTTCTTCCCATTCCCTCCCCGGGCTTCCTGAAGATAGGCCCCGTGCATACTCATCTCGGGACCCTCAGTACCCAGCATTTAGTCGATGTTAAAGAAGTATTTCTTGAACGGCAAGGGAAGGAGCCAACTTGTAAGGAGTAGATGGGGGAGGAGGAAAAGGGCTCCTTTGCTTTTGTCCCCTCTTCTCTCCTCCCTAGTAGTCTTTTCTGGGGGAAGACTGGGTGAGGCATTTGTCACAAGGGACACTGACCAGGTTACTCATGCTTTATTAGGAACCAAAAAGGCAGGAAAGCACAGCTTGGAGCAGGACTGGCCAGAAATCTATACCTACCCAGTGCTGGGATGGGGGGATGGATGGGTATGCCTGGGTCAGGGGTAAGAGCAGCTTTGAGTCTCGGGAAACTCACGGGCTCCTCATGGGCTATGAGGACTTTGGGGGAGGGCTTGCCTTCGCGGAGCTGCTTGGTGGGGAGTGTAGAGGATGGTGGCCCCCATCTGGTGTAGGAACGGAAAAGCAAGCTCATCTGAATCTCCTAGACACTACTTGGAACTCTGGATCACTCTCCCACCCCCTTCCCTGAGACCCCAGATGTTACAGATTGCTGGTCAGGACAGGTAAGGACATTAGTAGTAAAAGGATATGGTGTTTCCTAAAAGGGAGAGGTGGTACCTGCAGTATTCCCAGGACGGGCTTTCAGCTGACCATCTTGGGACCAGACCATCTTTACTTCACCCACCTGGACATATCTTTATGCCCACTAAGGCCAGCCCTGCAGATTGGGCCTTACACTCAGGCTTGGGGACCTCTTTCACAAAGTGTTTCCTCTCTCTGGACTTCAGGAAGATAAGAAGCTACCCTGAGTAGCAGTCCTACCCCAGGAGGACAGTTACCTCCTCTAGGAAACCCATCCTGGCTGCCCAGACACTAGCCCTCTCTCTTTCTTACCTTCTGGGCCCAGCTTGGGAGCACTATTCACCCTGGCTCATGCCATCCATGCCTGCCTATGTTGGCTTGCTGCAGGTATGGTAACTGTTCAAATACAAAGATGTTTCCTCAAAAAAGGCCTTGAAAATTCTTATTTGTGAGTCACTGTGTTGACATAGAAAACTCTGAGTTCACCAAATAAAAATAGCTTGAATGGACAAAAAAAATGTGGGTACATATCTATTTTCTTATTGCCCTTAACTTGTCTCAAGAATGCTCTTATAGTGGTGGCCACAGCAGGCCGATACCCATGCAGGATACTCACCTTTGCAGAACCTGCTATGCCAGGAGGGTCCAGCTCCTTTAGTGTATTTGGGGCTTAGCACAAAAAGTAAGGAATTTTCACACTTGTCTGGCTGCAGGGAGCCTCTTGCAGTCCAGTCAGCCCCTGTGGCTGGGGGTGGCCCAGCCAGGAGCATCAACATTAGGGTCAGCTGTGGGCTGGGCTACAGAGCCAGTGCCTCCAATGAAGTCCAGAGGCTGTAGCTCAAAGAGCTCATGTGACAAGCCTCACAGAGCAGGGGAGCAGCATTGTCTTCCTGCTAGAAAACCACCAGATTGGGGTCCTGTGGGGGGTGGGGGAGGCATTTGTGATTTACTTGTCACCTAAATAAAGGAGCAAGAAAGGATGGAGAGAAAGATGACTTCAGCATGCAGAGCTGGGGGCCCGGGAGGTGTAGGTGCCAAGCTCAGAAAGGAGAAAGCTGGGATAGGGACTGACCAAAGGCGGGGTCAAGAGCTCATTCAGTCTGAAGCCTGTGGACTTGACTGTGTTTGTGGCACGTCTGGCAGTTGGGAAGTTGGAATGTGGGTCGGGACCTCAGCGGAGAGGTTGGACCAGGCCAACAGGCTGACCCAAGTTTTTAGTTAGAGGTTGTTGGGGAAATAATGAAGACAGCTTCCAGTGGGTAAAACCATACCAAATCAATGGAAGCAGATCCAGGTAAGGTGACCAGAAAGGCGGACAAACTCACATAACCAACAATGGTCAGGAATTAAGTCCTACCTCTCTCAAAGGCCACCTCACATCCAACTTCTTTGTGAAGAGGTTTTCCAGGCCGCCCCTCCCGATGGTCGTCCCCCAGTACTAGGCTCTGGGGGACACTCCTGCAATGCAGTCTCCCTGCCAGACTGAGTTTCTGGGCTCTCGGCGGTGTGTTGAATTCAAGCACCCCACAATCATTCTGGAAAGTCCCAGGGCTCTCCCAGTCCCCAGCGCCCCTCCCCTGTTCTTCCAGGGGCTCTTGCTCTGTGCCTTGCAGGAAATGCGTGATGCTGGTGACACCTGGAGGACTAGACCATGGTGTGGTCGGATCACGTACCTGAGGCTTCAAGCTCTGAAAGTCCAGGCACGCGAGGAGGAGAGAGGTGCAAGCCAGGCGACCGCAGGGGGCGGCAGAGTCACGTGGTGCGGCGGCAGCGCGGGGTCCCAGAGCCGCCGGGAGAGCATATGGCCGCTGGCCAGCTCATTTCTTGGCTTTTCCCGTTGAATTCGCCGTCGGGGAGGGATGACTCAGAACGCAAGCTGGGGGGCAGCGCGATCAGGGTCGGGTGGGACCTGGATTCTCCAGCGGCCGCACGGCCGAGAGCCGGGAACAGAGGGTCGTGGAGTGAGACCCTTTGCGGACTCTGGCCACTCAAGCGCTTCTCCCCTCCCCCGGCAGCTCCGGCCGCCTGGCCGGTCTGTCCCCGCCCCCAGCCTTGTGCCGAGAGCCCCGGCGCGCGGGGGCCCCACCTCGAGTCGCGGGGACCAGTCTCGGCGCGGAATCCACACCTCGGTGTCCAACGGCGCAGCGGCTGCCCCGCGGCCCCGCAGACACCCGGCCCCCGCCCCCTGCTCGCCGTGGGGCAGCCCTGCCTCCTCCCGGCTGCGCGATGCGGCCGCCCGGCCTCCCTGCGTACCTGAGCTCCAGCCAGAGAGGTGCTCCCGGGCGCCCGCGGCCGCGTGGTGACATCAGAGCCCCGGGCTCCGGCTCCGGACCCCACCTCCAGGCTCCGGCCGCTGCAGGGGAGGCGCCACGTCCGGCCACCGGGGGCGGGAGCGCGGAGCAGCAGCGCTGCGCCGGGAGCCGCCCGCCCTTCGTAGTGTCCGAGCGCAGTGGCCCGGCCCCAGGCTCAGGAAGCAGACACTAGTTCCCCGTCGGGCACAGGACTCTTGCTCTGGGCCAGAGAAGCAGGAGCGTAGTGGAAGGAAGGGCCCTCCGTAAGGAGGCCCAGGCCGGACCCCAAGGCCTCCAGACGGCCACCCCTTTCCTTTTAAGCTTAACCAAGTAAACAGACCCTCCTGGGGCTCTTGTCTCTGTCCCTGTCCCTGAGTACAGTTAGGTTTGGATGGTAACGCACTTGTTGGCCAACTCTGCAGATGCCCCATTTCCAAAACTCTTCCAGCTCTTTAACTCCCTCCACGGGCTCTACTTTTCCCGTTTTTGCCTCCTTTCTATTTCTTTCACTACCTTGCATAGTCTAGGCCCTCCTGGCCAGCCGCCTGGACCGGAGAGGGGGCTGCTGACTTGAGTGTTCCCACCCGCTGCCCTCAGTGGGTCCTTCACGTGTGGGACATATGCAGATCCCCTACGGCCTGGTTAGGGTTCATAGGCTGAATGGAGTCTGGCTGTCAAGGTCCTCTCCTTTGGGCATCTCTATCTTTTTTTTTTTTTTTTTTTTTTTAATCCTCATCCGAGGATATTTTTCTATCTATCTTCAGATAGAGCGGGAGGGAGGGAGGGAGAGAAAGGGACAAAAAGGGAGAGAGAGAAAGAAATATCAACCTGAGAGGGACACATCCACGGTTGCCTCTCACGAGACCGCAACCGAGGTACATGCCTTTGACCAGAATCGAACCGGAGACTCACTGGTCCATGGGCCAAGCTCTAACAGCTGAGCCAAAACAGCCAGAGCTGGGCATCTCTACCTTTAAAGAATGCTCTACAATTATCTGCCACTGTGCTCCACCTACCCTGCTTTGTCCTTTGCCTCTCCAACCCC